CTTATAATTGGCAGTCTGGCTGGCTAACTGTCATCTACCAGCAAGCCAGCCCCTACCATAGTCCCATCTGAGGGAAACTGATTAGTTTCCTTTTTGGTAAAATTCTCTGCCTTCCTTCCCTCTTCTCACTCTATTGTATGTATCTAGGCCACTGCATCTCAAGCAACAATACATAAACTATTTTAAGAAATCACATTTCTGTTTTTCTATTATTATTTGTTTGCTTCTTGCTCATTCATTTTGAAATCTGTTACTCATCGGCAGAGAAGTTGTAGGGAGTGCCAAAGTTTTCCCACCCTGGAGAACTCCCTCTTTCCTCTCCTCCCCCCTCCTCTTCAGAGATTCAATGCAAGCCCCTCTCTTCTATGAAGCCTTCTCAGAATCAACTGAAAAGATGGAAATTTCCTTGGAAATGTAATTGCCTGAAGGTAAAAAAGGTAAAGAAAAAAGCTAACCATCTGAGAGGAAGCCTGAGGGAAGAGATATGATGGCAACTATCAGCTATGAAATTTCTCTTTTCTTTGAAAGCGAACTTCTGTAGGGGGAGATAGATGCATCTAGCTGCTAAGCACACAGTAGGTATTCCATTAGTCCTGGTTGATCGATGCCACCTGGGGTGGTTCTTAAATGTTCTTAAATGTTCACAAATTCTTTGCCACTCTTCCCTTCAAAAGGTAGAGCCTAGGGGCACCTGGGTGGCTCAGTCAGTTAAGGGTCTGACTCTAGATCTCAGCTCAGGTCTTGATCTCAGGGTAGTGAGTTCAAACCCCGTGTTGGGCTCCACATTGGGCATGGAGCCTACTTAAAAAAAAAAAGATTAAAAAAAATTTAAATGTAAAAAAAGAGCCTAATTCTCCCTTCCTTAAATGTGGGCTGTATCAGTGAATCACTTCTAACGAATAGAATGTAGTGGAGTGATAATGTACGACTCCTGAAGTTAAGTCAGAAAAATTATTGCAGCTTTCCCCCGCTTTCTCTTGGATGATTCACTTCTAGGGGAAGCCAGAAACTGAGGCCTCCTGACAACAGCCAGCATCAACCTGCCAGCCAAATAAATGAGCCATCTTTAAAGTGGATCCTCCAGCCCCAGTCAAGCGTTTGGATAACTGCAGCCCCGGGCAAAAGTTTGACGACAACCATAGCTTGACCGAATCAGCACCGCCCAGCTAAGATGCTTCTGGATTCCTGTGAGAGCCAACAAATGCTCACTGATCTTTTAAATTGCTAAGAGGAAGAGAGCTGGAGGGACATTGCAGGAGGAAAAGGTTTTTGCTTCCTGGTTCTAGTGTGTGTAATTGGCAAGCTCCTGCAGAGTAAGCACCTTCACCAGTGCCCAGTGCCTGGAGCGACCAGCAGCACCAGCAGCTAGCAGCTTCTCCTGGCACTGCCCACCTTGGGCAGTCATGTAAGCAGAGTGCCTCCACCTCCTGCAGCGTTTGCAGCTTCTCCAGCACCCAGCACCTGCTGTATACTGGGCTTCTCCGGCATGAGGCTCCTGCAGCACTCACAAGGTCTTGAGCACCAGGCTTCTGCAGTACATAGAGGCCAGCAGCGCCCAGTGGGGAGCAGCTTCCTGTGTACCCTACTCAGGCAGTTTTCTAGACTTTTTTAAAAAAGATTTTTTAATTTATTCATTTCAGAGAGAGAGAGAAAGCATGCGCGTGTGAGCCAGAGAGCGTGAGCAGGGGGAGGGGTGGAGGGAGAGGGAGAAGCAGACTACCCCCTGAGCAGGGAGCCCGATGTGGGGCTCGATCCCAGGTCTCTGAGATCATGACCCAAGCCGAAGGCAGACGCCCAACCATCTGAGCCACCCAGGAGCCCAGTTTTCTAGCCTTTGATTTGGCACCTCCTTGTGAAGAACTCCCTGGCATCCTAGAGGCCAGATTTCTGGCAAGTTCCACTCTCATGAGAGTACAGCGACTTTTCTGCCATCTGGTGAGCCATGGGCTATGTTCTCAACAAGGTCTGGATTTCAGCTTTAGCGGGGGTGAGGGGTGTCTCTCCCTTGGGTGCCCTATCCTAAGCCTCAGCCCTGGGGGGTAGAGGATGCTCTGACATCTACTATTCATGTATTCTTTACTCTTTACTAACCAAGTTTTTTGTTACTCTAATCCCCTGTTGTCATAAATAATTATATTAAAATTTCCCTGTTCAAATCACTGTGTGGTTTCTTTCTCTTGATTGGACCTAGAGTGACACGCTAAATTTGGTCATAGTTTGTTATACAGCAACAAATAACCAAACCACCCCTCCCCATCTCATTGCCCACTGCCAACTCCCCTTTCATTACCATCAGCCAATTTTTACCATGTGCCTATGCAGAGCAGGTTCTTCCCTCAAGGCTTTTATAAGGAGTCAGATATGACCTACTACAAAAAGAACAAAGTTTATAAGATCAAAGATTTAATTTTGATCTAAATGAAAGGTTCAAATATGAAGTGCTGCAGGAAGCAGCAAAGGCCGGTTGAAGGTGGCTCCAGGCTGCAGTAGGACGTAATTCAACTCTGATGACACTATAGGACACAGCCCAGTGGAAAAGAGAGAAGGGCACTGTAGCCAGGGGGAACACTGTATCAAAAGCTTAGAGGCAAGACCACACGTGGTAGGATCAGGTCAGCAGGGACTACTAGTTCACTCGAGTTTGGCTGGAGAAGGGATTTTATATGGTAGGCTAGTGGCAAGCAATATGACCGGATCCTGAAGGGCCTTACATACAAAGCTAATTCATTTGGTGCTATCATGTTAAAAAAGGGGGCCAGTGACCATGTCTTTGAAGCTAAAACTCAAACTACTTTTGTTGTAAGTACAATTATACTTGTCAGATCGTGAGACTTAGCTTTGGGGCTGAGAAGAAGTTCACCATGACAGTAGGAAACCCCTGAATGTTTTTGAGAATGATGCAATGTGGGGTTCTGAGATTAGCCTGGAATGTGTTGGGCTGGAGAAAATGGAGAACAGAAGTAGAAAATGATACCCAAAAGTCCTGATGTAGGGAATAGGGTAGCAGCAGTGGAAAGTGAAGAACTTGGAGAGATGTGGGATGTTCGGAATGGCTGGTTGGATGTGGTGAGTTGAAGGTGATGCCCAATGCTTAGCTGGTGACATGGGAACACAGGGAGCTGAATGAGGGGTAGATAGGATGATGTTGGCTTTTAACAAGTTCCATTGGGGTGACTGCAGTGTATCCAAGAAGCAGGAAGGAACAGCCTCAGGCCTGAACTCAGGAGAGACAAGGGCTGATGATTCAGATCTGGTAGTGATGTCTACTCAGGGTGACAAGTCAGACTTTGGGAGATGGTGATGAGGCTGGCTCTCTGTTCAGCCTATCCTCATCAACAACCCTCCCCCGACCCACCCAAGGGATGAAGTCCTGGGTCAGGAATTCAGTGGGGACAAATATCCTCAAGTAGTTCAGTCCTAAATGGACTCCTAAAAGCCAGAAGCACTGTCTTTCTCACCTACCACAGAATCTGGCTTAGAATCTATGGTCCACTCCCATGGGCCTCAGGCCAAAGAATAGGAAAGCAAAAAGCCCAAGACTAGGGGGTTCTAACCCTATTTCGGCCCCAGACCAAACATGTTACCTTGAGCAAGTCACTTTCCCTCTTTGGGTTTGTTTTTTCCTTCAGCAAAATGCCAGGGTTGGCCTTGGACTGGACTGTGGTTTTTAAATCCTGCCCCTGAAGAACAACAGGGTTCCATAGCTGGGCCAACATGTTCTTCCTCCTGAATCAAGTAGTAGCAGATGGAGCAGCTCCAATTTTAGGGTTTTCTCCATAAGGTTTTCTTAACCCAGTAGCAACCACTACTGCTTGTTTTCCAGCAAGGGCTCACAGATAACACAGTGAATGAACAAGCGGGAAATGCAATGAAAATAGGTGAAACCGGGAAAATCTGAAAATAGGTGACCATATTTTGTTTGACAGTCTTCTTGTTTCTGGAGACTTCATGGTTATGGCTTTATATTACTCACATAGTCACTCTGGTTTCTAAAGCTAAGTTCCAGTGGCATTTCAGGGTGCTTTCATAGAGCGTTCTGGGACTCCCCAGTGCCTGTAACCCAAAGAGACTGGAGAAACATCAGACTTGGTGCTCTAAGGACCTTTCCAGTGTTAATCTTTCACTCTCTCAGTCTTTGATCTTTGCACGCAGAACACTGCGCCTTACATTCATTAATTCCTATAATCCCCATATAATCCTCCCAACAGCCTCATGACATAAGTACTATTATTATATTCATTTTACAGGTGAAGGGAGCACTGAGGGCCAAATAGGGTTAATGGCTTGCCCAAGGTCACACAGCTAGTGACAGAGCTGGGATTTGAACCTGAGAGTCTTATTCCAAAGCTCTCTCTTCCAGTATGCCTGCAGTCTCTGTCATTAATGCTATCACCAAATACTTTCAGTTCTTCCTTGGACACATGGTAAGACTGATCTTCCCTACCTGCTTTGGCTAGTGAAATGTGAGCAGAAGTAGTGAGCATCATTTCTGGTGTAACTTTTAAGAGCCAGGGATCACTGCCACATTCCCTGTTCCTTCTCTAGGAGTTGAGGATACACAATAAGAGCCACTCTCAGCCTTGGGCACTGAGAGAAGATGATTTGGAAAAGACACCTGTCCCCCAACCCCCAGCTGACCTGCTAGGGGCTATGATAAAGAAATAACCTTGTCATTTTTTACCACTAAGATTTGGAGGTTGTTTGTTACTGTGGCACAGCCTAGCCCATCCTAAGGAATCCAATGCAATACCATGTCCTGTTGATTATCTTTGGTCTCAGTTCCCCCAAACATGCCTTCTCTCTGAAACTCCCTGAGAGCATTGGCTCCACATTCAAATTTGAAAAACAGCAAGAGGAGAAGGCAATCTGTCCCCAAAACAGGGAAGTGGGGATGTGTTTTGGGAGATGTGCCCATGCTTCACCATGCTCTGGGTAGGGATTATGCTGGATGAAATCTACACCCAGCCCCTGGAAGGCCCTAGACAGAAACTTCGTCAAGCTTTTCTCCCATAGTCATTTATGGGCTCTCCTTAATTTTATTCCCCGCTATTAAAGTAGGAATGACTGGGCCGGCAGGAGGAGGGCCGGACTCCCACATCCTGGGAGCACTGCAGGCTGACTATGACCCTGCAGGCCTGGATCTGAACCTCCTCCTCAGGGTGGATGACCAGGGCGAGCAGCCGGTCTGCCAGTCGGGACTCATCCCCAAAGAGAGCTTCATGAAGAGATTGTTCATTGTAATGCCACTTCACGGCACGGTAGTGGGGTGAATTCCGGCCCTCACTTAGCCGCTCAGCAAACACCAGTACCTCGAACAGCAGACTCCCTGGCTGGGTGGACTGAAACAGGTTCAGGAAGTTGGAGTGCACCTGTGAGGGGAGTAGAGCGACAATGGCAAAGAAATCCAAGACATGTTCTGAGGTTCTTCTTCTTCCATCTTCCTATTGCTGCAACTCCCCAGTACACCCAAGTTTCAGCTTCAACTGTATAGGAATTTTTTAGTTTTCCTTTCATTATCATTCTCTAACATAATTGCACTGTGGTCATAAAACATGAAAGATAGGATCATAATATTGATTCTGGGAAATTGGTTGAGTCAAACATTAAAGCTTAGCATGTGGCTGATTTTTATAAATATTTTGTGTGCTTGAGAGGAATATACACTTAACTAATTGTAAAATGTTCTAGGTGTGTCTAATGGCTCAGGCTTATTTATATTATTCCCAGTAAATATACCCTTACTTGTTTTAGGTTTTTATCTATTAATTGCTGAAAAAATACATCTCCCAAATCTTCCGTTGTGATGGTAGATGTGTCAATTTTTCCTTATAATTATTCAGCCATGAGAAAGAAGGAAATCCTGTCATTTGTGACAATATGGATGAACTTTGAGGACATTATGATAAGTGAAATAAGCCAGACAGAGAAAGGCAAATACTGCATGGTATCACTTATTGGTGGAATCCAAAAAAAAAAAAAAAAAAAGTCACACTCAGAAACAGAGTAGGAAAGTGGTTGCTAGGGGCTGGTGGTGTAGAAGAAATAGGAAGATTTTGGTACAAGGGTATAAACTTTTAGATATAAATTGAATAAGGTCTGGGGGTGCCTGGGTGGCTCAGTCGGTTGAGCATCCAACTCTTGATTTTGGTTCAGGTCATTTTGATCTCAGTGTCCTGAGATCGAGTCCTGTGTTGGGAGCCACACTGGCTGTGGAGCCTGCTTGAGATTCTCTCTCTGCCTCTACTCCTCCCCCTGCCACTTGTGCTCTCTCTCTCTTAAAAAAAAAAAAAAAAAGATGAATAAAGTCTGAAGATCTAATGTAAAACATAGTGATTAAAGTTAATAACACTGTATTAGATAATTGAAATTTGCTGAGAGTAGAAACGTAAATATTCTCACACACAAAAAGATAAATATGTGAAGTGATAGATGTGTTAATCAACTAGATGGTGAGAATCCTTTCACAATGTATATATATATATCAAATCACCACTATGTACATTTTAAATATTTTACAATTCTATCTCTTCATTATACCTCACTAAAACTGAAAAAAAAGAAAAAAAATTTCCTTGTCATTCTATCAAGTTTTGCCATATAAATTTTGAGGTTATGTTATTAGGTTCATAGAAGTTTAGAGGTCCTTTATCCTTCTGAACTGTTATTATGTAGTGACCCTGTCTATTCCTAATAATGGTTTTTGTTATAAGTAATTTTTCTCTAATATGAAAATACCTACATTTACTTTTGTTTTATCACCTGGATTTGTGGCTCTCAGAGTTCAGAAAGCCCCTTAAAGGAGAATCCCCCTCTCAACAAAATTAATTCTCATTCTATTGGGAGAATTGAAGAGGGGATAGTTTTCAATATATCTAGTACAAAGGCAGGAAGAGAAACAAGACGATCTTGTTAGGACTAAGTCTGCCTGGAGAATCCATGATTCTTCCTTCCTCAGTATCTGAGTTGGTATCCATTAATCCTTCTTCAGTTCCTTTCTCACCTGGCAGTTGAGAATATCATACAGAAGGTCGTTCTTCTGTGCTAGGTAGCTCAGCAATCGTATGGCTTGCACCTGAATAAAAGAACGAGTAAAGCATGAGAAGGCAGGTAAATGTGGGCCTGAGCAGGGAAGGCACAAATCTCTGCTCCTCCCTCTAGGTGCTGTGCCAGGGCTGGTAGGAGGGGCAGGGCCTGGGCCATGGTCCTTAGGCACCTGTGCCAGGATATATTCTAACTGCAGGATCTCCATCAAGGCAGGCATCACCCGTCGCAGCTGTGGATGTACATAGTCAGGCAGTGGGAGGCTGTTGAGGAGTCTAAGGCCGGCAACATGCAGCTCCGAATCCCAGATGGTGGAGATCAGTTCCAGTACCTTGACGGTGTGTTCCTGGGGGGTTGAGGGGGTAGGGAGATAAGGGTCTGCTTTTATGTGGTGATCCCCAACACTATCCCAGCCTCTGAGTTCACTCTTCCCTCCCCCTACCTATGATGCCCAAGCCCAAACCCAGTAGACAACTCCCTTTAACTTATACTCTCAACATTACTTGATCTAGTTGGCCACACCTGCCTCCTTTCTGCACCTGGCTTCTCTTCCACAGACTTCTTTCCTGGTTCTTCTGCCCAACCTTTTCTTCTCTATCTTCCTCACTCTCTTAGTGATATTATCCAGACTCAGTGTTAAACACTGTTGATGCTGAGGCCTTTCAAATTTCTGTCCCTAGCCCAGACCTCTATGGGAAAACTCCAGACTCATATATTCCAGTGCCAATTCCACTTCTTCCCATAATGCTTTTTTCTTTTTTTTAAGATGTTATATTTATGTAATCTCTATACTCAACGTGGGGCTCAAACACACAACTCCGAGATCAAGAGTTGCATGCTCCACTAACTGAACCAGCCAGGCGCCCCTTCCCAGAATGCTTGCTAGACCTCTCAGAGTTAACACATACCCAGCCCCCAGACCTGTTTCTCTCACCACCTTCCCTGTCTCTGCTTTTGGTCACACCTCCCTTCCCACTACTCAGGTCAAAAATCTGTGGTCCTCTTTAACTACTTTGTTTCTCCTCACACTGCTTTTCTAGTCCTTCAGAAAATCCCGTTGGCTCTACCTTCAAAATCTGTCAACAGTCAAGCTGTTCCTACCACCCCGTTCCAAGCCACCATCAGTTCTCACCTGGACTTCTGCAATAGCCTCCTGTCTCCCTGCTTCCATCCTCCCCTCTGCATCCATTTTCAGAACAGCAGACATGTTAGACATGTCACTCTTCTGCTCAAGTCCCTAGCTCATCCAGGGTAAGAGCTAAAGTCCTTACAGTGGCTTACAAGGTCCAGTCTGCTCTGCCGCTCTCCCCTCACAATTTCTTTGACCTTATCTCCTATTCTCTTTTTTGCTCCCACGGTTGACATCACAATGGTCTCTTAGTCATTCTTTGAGCATGCCAAGTACACACTTATCTTGTTTTTGCACAGCCTGTTTTCTCTACTTAGAATGCTCTCCCTCCAGACAGTCATAGCTCACTCTCTTACCTCCTTCAAGACTTTGCTTTAATGTCACCTTCCCAGTAAGGTCTTCCCAACCACTCCCTTTTTTAAGATGGCAACCACTCCCCACCCAGCCTTCCTTATTCTCTATCTTTATTTCATTCTTCTCCACAGCACTGTCACAGGCAACTCACTTTTTATTTTGAAACTTTTTATTTTCAAATAATTATAAGTTCTCAGGAAGTTGCAAAAATAGCCCAGAGACATCCTGTGGGTGCTTCACCCAGATTCCATCAATGGTTAACCTTATGTAATTATATACAGTATCAACACTAGGAAATTAGTATTGGTACAGGGTGTGTGCACAGTCTCTGTCATTTTGTCACATATGTGGATTCATGTAACCATCACTGCTATCAACAGATTATTCCATCAGAGTTGTCCCCTCACCACAGAGATCTCCCTCACGGGACTCCATTATAGTCACATCTCCCCCCCACCACCAAAACCAGCCCTCACGATTGGTAAACACTCATCTGTTTTCCATCTCTATATTTTTGTCACTTTGAGAATGTTACATGTTGAGTCCTACTTTGTGACCTTCTGAGATTGGTTTTTCACTCAGTAGAATGCCCTTGAGATCCAAGTTGTTGTATCAATAGTTCATTCCCCTTTATTTCTGAGGGTTCCATGGTATGGATTAGCACAGTTTAACCATTTATCTATTGAGAGACATTTTGGTTGTTTCCAGTTTTTGACTAGTACAAGTGAAATGGCTACAAACAATTGCATACAGGCTTTTGTGCAGACATGTTTTCATTTCTCTAGGATAAATGCTTCAGAGTGCAACTGTTGAGTTGTATGATAAATGTATCTTTCATTTTTTATTTTTTGTTTTTAAGTAGGCTCCATGCCCAGCATGGAGCCCAATGCAGGGGCCTGAACTCATGACCCTAAGATCAAGACCAGAACTGAGATCAAGAGTCAGATGCTCAACTGACTGAGCCACCCAGGCACCCTGATAGTTCATTTTTTAAAGAAACGGCCAAACTATTTTCTGGAGTGGGTGCTGTACCATTTTATATTCCCACCAGCAACATACGAGAGAGCCCATTTCTATCTTCACCAGCATTTAGTATTGTCACAAATTTTGAGTTTGGACTATTTAATAGGAGTATAGTGCTGTCTCATTGTGGTGGTAATTTGCATTTCCCTAATCCCTACTGATGTTAAACATCTTTTCATGGGCTTATCTGCAACTCTTAGATCTTCTTCAGTGCTGTATCTCTATGTCTTTTGCCCGTTTTCTAATTGGATTTTTAAAAATATTGAGTCTTGAGAGCTCTTTATATGATCTAGATAGGAGTCCTTTGTCACATATGTGCTTTGCAAATGTTTTCTCCCTGTCTGCAGCTTGTCTTTTCATCCTCTTAAGAGGTTCCTCCACGAGGCATGTCTTTAGTTTTGATGAAGTCCAATGTATCCATTTTTTCTCTTACAGATCATGCTTTTGGTGTTATTTCTAAGAACTCTTCATCAAGCTCTAAGTCCCAAAGATTTTCTCTTTTGAAACTGTACCACCACCCCCATACCAGCTTCCTTATGGTCCTACTTTATTTTTCTCTAGAGTTAGTCTGGGTGGTGTTTCAGGCAGAGGGAACAGCAGGTGCAAGGGCCGGGGAGTGGGAGAGCATGAAACATACAGTGTGAATGGCTAGGGCTGGGGCAAGGAGGTGGAGGATCATGCACTTTATGCTGAGAGCCCTGAGGAATACCAAGCAAGGGGTTGATGGGATCAGATCCCTTTGGACAGAGTGGTCTGACTTAGAGAATGGGGGCAAGGTAGGTCCATTTTGGACATGCTGGGCTAGAGGGCCCCTAGGATATCTAAGTGGGGCAACTGGCCCTGGGGTTGGGGGAGTTCCCAGGCTATGGACAGAGATGCAGGAAAGCACATCTAGATGAAAACTGAGGCCAGTGAGTGGCTGCTTTTACCCAGAGAGAGAACAGGGATCAGGTCCCCAGGACACCCTGGGGAAAGTATTGCCCAGGCCAGCTGCATCAGAGTCTCCTGGGAGGCTTGTGAAAAACATAGCTCCCCTGCTGAACTAGACTCTCTAGGTGTGGGGCCCTGGAATCTTCATTTTTAACCAGCTCTGTGGGCAATTCTGATATGTTTGAGAATTACAGACTTATGGAAACTCAGAGACTTAAGGGATAAAGTAGAGGTGGCCAGCAAGTGGAGACCTAGAGACCTTTTTTTCCCAAAAAAAGTTTTTTTTTTCCTTTCTATTTTTAAGTAGGCTTCACGCTCAACATGGGGCTTGAACTCATGACCCCGAGATCAAGAGTCACATGCTCTACTGACTGAGCCAGCCAGGTGCCCCTCTCCAAAAAAGCTTGATGCAAAAAATCAAAGTGTGAAAATACCAAGTTTGGGGGAGGAAATATAATGCAACGGGAACACTCATGCAGAGCCGGTAGAGTGTGTAAATTGATACAATCCTTCTTGAGAAGTTGGGCATACATTTTCACCCAGCCATTCTACTCCTGCATACAGATCCTAGAGAGTCTCTTATATCCTCAAGGGAGATGTGTACAAGAACACTCATGGCACAATGTGGAAACAATTTCAGGGCCTACCCATGGGCAAATGGATAAACAAAATTGCAGGATATTCATGCAGTAGAATACTATACAGCGGTGGAAAATAAGGAAACAGAGCTATCCACACCAATAAAGGTGAATCTTTCAATGTTGGGGGGAAAAGGCAAACCACAGAATACAAACTGCATACTTCCAGATATATGGAGCTTAAAAACATCCCAAACTACATTTTGCCCATTCATTTATTATCTGCCTTGCCTTGCTGGAATATGATACCTGAATATATGGCAAAACTATACAGAAAATCAAGGAATTGATGCACAACATGCAGGAAATAATTGCCTCTGTTTGGGGGAGAGTTTGGGATTGGGGAGGGGCATCGGGAACATCCAACCTGTTGATCACATTCTATTTCTCAGCCATGCATTTTTTTTTTTTAAAGATTTTATTTATTTATTTGACAGAGAGAGAGAGAATGAGCACAAGCAGGGGGAGTGGCAGGCAGAGGCAGAGAGAGAAGCAGGCTCCCCACAGAGAAGGGGGAGCCCGATGTGGGGCTCGATCCTAGGACTCCGGGATCATGACCTGAGCCGAAGGCAGTCGCTTAACCAACTGAGCCACCCAGGCGCCCCTCTCAGCCATGCATTTTGTTTTATAGTTCTTTCCACTGTACACATATAAAATGTAAGTTTTCAATATTTTACTTATTTTTAATTCAGGAGAGACCATTTGCTAGAGAGAAATTTGGAAGTCAAGGAAGGAAGGGGGGCTCTTTTTTAAGATTGGAAGGATTAGAGCATGTTGAATACTAATGGGAAGGAGTGGGGGGAAGTCCATATCAGACAAAGAGGCTAATTAAGGAGAGAGGCTATTAAAGGGGATGGGATCCAGGACTGAGACTAACGTTGACCCTAGACAGGAAGAAAGCCATTTTTTCATAGCATTAGCAGGAAAGGATGGGTGTGGAAACGGGTAAGCCTGGGAACATTTCGTGGCTTATATTTTCTCTACATGGTGGTAATGAAGGCATCAGTGGCCCAGCCACCAAGTATCAGACCAACACAGCACAGGGGGTGGTATATCTGATCCTTGTCCCTGGTTCTAGGCACAGAGCTCCTAAAATCCATGCATTTGTGGGGTGTCTGGGTGGCATAGTCGTTTGGGCATCCAACTCGGTTTCGGCTCAGGTCCCATCTCAGGATTTTAGGAGCTCAGCACAAGAGTCCGCTTGAGATTTTCTGCCTCTCCTTCCCACTGCCCCTCCCTGTGTGCTGTCTCTCTCTAAAATAAAATCTTTTTTAAAAAATCCTTGCAATTGCCTGATAGAAGGGCCCTTTGTTATTCATAATAAGCTCCTCTCAGTTACCCCAGAGCTTATGCTGATTAGGTGACTCTTGGTGGATGGCAGACAGCTTCCAGATGGGGGCGCTAATGGCCAGAAAGGCCAAGCCATGATTAGAGGGTTGAAGAAGGAAGGGAGGGGTTAGAGATTGAGTTCACTCACCAGTGGCCAATGATTAATCAATCACGCCTACATAATGAAACCTCCATAAATACCCCTAAACGACAGGGCTCAGCAAACTTCTGGGTTGGTGAACACATCAAGGTGCTAACAGGGTGGCTTGTCTAGAGAAGGCCCAGAAGCTTTGCACCCTTCCCCCATACTTTGCCCTACATGACTCTTCCATTTGACTGCTCCTCAGTTGTGTATTTCATAATAAACTGGTAAATGTAAGTAAAGTGTTTTCCTGAGTTCTGTGAGTCATTCTAGTGAACTACCAAACCAGAGGAGGAAGTCCAAATTTATAGCCAAATGTACTGGCACTTGTGACTGGCATGGGAAGTGGGGGGAGGGTGTCTTGTGGGACTGTCCTTTGTCCTTTTCCTGTGGGACCTGCACCAACCCTAGGTAGACAGTGTCAGAATTGAGTTGAACTGTAGGACACCCCCATTGGTGATGTAGAATTAGTTGATATCAGAAAGAACCTCAGTGCTTTCTGCTGTTTGGGGCTCAGAGATACTCCTAGCACCCCAGTTCAGTTTCGGCCTGAGATTCAAAGATTTGTGACCCTTGAGGAGGGTCTCACTTAATTACAAGGAAAAGCATTATTTCTGGATTACAAACACAGACCCAAACAACTTCTGGAACATGACCATTTATCCTATGCCCATTAAAGAACCCATGGACTACAGACATCCTGTGCGCTCTACCCCACCACTTGCCTCTGGACTCACCTGGATTTTAAGCCTGAATTTTCTGATGCCAGAGAAAGCTTTAAGTGTGTTCAGAGCTTGGATTTTGACACTGTTGTCCTTGTCATCCAGCATGGAGCCCACCAAGCTGATGTCATCAGTAGTACAAGAAGAGGCCTAGAGTGGGCCAGGAGAGATGGAAGAGGCAGGAGAAGCGGGTGTCCTGGACCCACTGCCCCCCATATCACCAAGACCCCTCAGCACCAGCCCTCCCGCCATCAGCCAGAGAAACAGGTCCCAGGACAGGGTCTGGCCAGCCAAGGGGGTAAGGATCAGGTGTAGCCCCCAGGGATTGGGCTGGCTGGGAGGGACCTCCGGCTGTCTTTCCCTCACCTCAGCCTCCAGCAAGTACACACAGCGCGTGATACTGTGCAGGATCATGCTCTTGGCGTACTCATCCTGTTTGTGCTCCAAAGAGTTGAGGAGCCTCCGGAGCTCACCCGAGTCCCGCCCGTGCCGCTCTCGCTCGACTGCCAGGCCTAGACAGCCACCCCAGCCCAGTTCAGGCTGTGGACTCAGAAGTGATCAAAGAATGGGGTTGGGAAGTGGGGGAGAGGGACCTGGGAACAAGGCTGCCTTGCCTTTTCTGAAGGGGCCTTCTTGCTCTATGCAGGACCACCAAGTACAGCTGAGCCGTGTGTGTGGCAGGAGGGGTGCTATGTCTAATGAGGTATCATTCAGATCATAAGTGTCCTAGTTTTGGATATTTACTATAACAATTTTCTGGCCTACGGCAGTCATGTATCCTATCTCATCATAATCAGTACATGGCAGTGATATCCCAACAGACGGCAATAACACATCTTGCAGAAGGGTGCCTTTTTCTACTTTGCACAAAGTTGTCGTGTGGACTAGTGGAGGCTCTGGGCATGCAGGTGGCCCAATGTTCCCTTAGGGAGAACTGCTAATGCCAAGCCTCCGAGCAGGGGCATCCTGGGAGCTAGAGTGAAGGCAGAATCTGGAGACCTGCCAAATGAGTCCTGAGGATCCACTCGAGTGCCAGCTACTCCCTGGGGACTCTGAGCTAGCATCTCTATGGTGGGTTGAGGCAGATGGAGAAGAGGAAGGAAGGACAGAGGATCTTGGAGGAGTCACCTTTGGGCCCTCCCACACTGGAGGCCTCGGGAGCAGGTGCCTCCTGGGGCAGAGCCCTCTCCCCAGGGCCCGTACACTCACGGGCGATGCAGATGGGTGAGGCAGTGTGGAGGGGCGGCTGGCATTTGATACCAGCCCTGATGGCCTTGTAGAGCAGGTAGATGAACCCAGCACCTGTGGCCAAGCCCACTACACCTTTTCGGATGTCCATTTGCCCCAGGTACTGGGGGATGCTCATACCCATGTCTTCAGTGTGGCCTTGCGCCCGGGTGGGAGCTAGGCCCAAGGCACCTGGCAAGGGCCTTCTGGAACCAGAACTCTGGCAGGGCCAGGAACCAGGATACCAGAATCAGAACCTGGGCAACAAAGGAAACTGGGGAAACGGGATAGAGGGCGGTGATCAGGAAACGGGGCAGCCAGGAGTGCTGGGAAGGGGAGAAGAAGGTTCAGCTTCACAGGCTGTCGGAAATGAAGCTCAAGACTATGGGAATAAAAAGTCTGGGGGTGGGGCAGGAAGGTCCTTCACATCCCCTTTTCCTTAGGGGAGCCAGGTTGGTTGGGCCCCAGCAGGCAGCTCTAGAGGCTGACTTCCTCCATTAGAGGGCAGCAGAGGCCCGATTTCTGGGCTGGTTCCTTTGGAAGTTTCTGGGAGGGGTGTTCGGGATGTGCCCATTGGCAATACCATTCTCTCACTCTCTGGCCTCCCATCTTTGATTTCTTCACCACAGATTCACTGCTGGGCCTCGGGGTGTTTCTGCAGGCATGAACCCCGTCCATCAAGGGGAGCACTTTATGAAGTTTTGCAGTCCTCAGGCAAACCCATCACCTTCCAGAAACTGTAGTTCCCCTATAGTGGGTAGGATCTACCTGTGTGGCCAGAAGCTCTTGAGGGCAGCTCTCTCTGCATCTCCAACATCCAGTAGAGTCTTGCACTTAGTAGGTGCTCAAATCATGACTTCTGTCATTCTTTGAGGACTTGAGGAATCTGGTTACGGGGCTCCAGGCCCATTTAACCAGTGTGACCCTGGAGGAGCGACTGCCCTTGCTGGGTCACAATCTGTGACTGTTTGCAACCTGCGGTGATCCACATTTACCATTCTATAACTCCAGGATTACAATTTGGGTGGATGTATGCCTTTACATGATGGGGGCCTAAATCTGGGAGTACCACAGTCCAGTGCCCCGCACCCCAGTGCTCGGCACCCCACCCCACGCCATCCCTACAGGATGAGATGAGGCCTGAAGGCCTCCTGTGGAGTCAGAAAATGCCACCATCCCAGAAACATGAGAGTCCACCTTTGGAGGACTTGGTCTCCCCCAATAGGATGGGGCAGGTGAGAGCAGACCCTTCTCTCTTTCTCTCCTTCCCCACTCGTCCCCATACCTGTGGCCTCGCCTCCTCGTACAGAACAGGGAGGTGACAGGCCCTGAGCCAGGCTCAGGCCCAGAGCCAGCATGGAGCATCGTTGTACCAGAATAGGTCTTCACCTGCCTGGCTTTGAGCTCCTGTTGGAAGGTTCTAGGTCATGGGCTACACCTGGGCTTGAAGGAGGCGGGGAGATAGGGAAATAGCATCCTCAAGGCTGCTGCAGCCAGCCAGGCCTGACTGCTCAGAGCCTTCACCCATCACACCCCAGGCTGTAGGCAACACTCCCAGGTGGCTGTTCTTTTCCTTTCCTCTCCACTGTCCTCGGCCCTCCTCAAGCTCATTTGTAGCACTCAACCCAGCCCCAAGGTGGATGACTACATGGACTCTGCAAGGAGGGGTAACAGAGGCCCATGGATGCCCCATGAACTCCAGGCAGGAAATGGCTGCCTGATGGGACCGCTTTAGGTTCCAAGGCTACCCTAGTGGATCTGAGGACAGGTCCTTCAGAACAAGGTTCCCGCCCTTCCCTGGGGTAGGACCCATAGCTGCTGACCTCTCCAGTCCATGGACTTGATTCTGCAACCCTCTTTTCCTAAGCAAATGCAGTGCTCACCTGTTCTTTAAAAGCTTCCAAATGAGTGTTCTTCTTGGCTTTAACCTAACTCCTTCCTGCTACACCTAAAGCCCACTTCTTTTGGTTCTGCTCTCAAATGATGCAGAGGGATGAAGAGGCCGAGGCCATCCCCAGAGTGATATTTCATTAGTCCACAGCACAATGTAAAAAACACAGAGGGAAGTCCATTTGTTGGTGTGAAGTCAATGACTGTCCCTTCTCGGGAATGACTGCTTTTGATTTAGATGAGGTCTTTCTTATTTTGAGAATTCAAATGCACTTGCTTTTATGAAATGATGGTGCTAATAGACGATAGTTGTGTTCTGAGTGTTCTTAGGGTGCATAAATTAAAGCTGCAACTTTGTAGGCACGTGGCTTTTGTTTTCTTGCTTTGTTTCGTCTGTCAAATCCAAAGATCTGGAATCACTGACTAGAGAGAAGTCTGAGATTCCATATACACACAGTCAGCCTCCAAGTTTCTTACCTGTCCTCACCAAGGCAAAAAGACCTGGGTTGCCCGAGTGCACACCCCTCTGTCAAGTGCACTGGCTTTCTACATTCAAAGCTGATATTCCCATCATGGTAAGTGCAATTTACTTTAGTGAAGGAGAGTGTGGGCTCTCGCCAGACTGCCGGGGTTCAAAACCAGTTCAGCCACTTAGCTTTGTGCTCTCTTTGCACTTGACTTTCCCCACCTGTAAAATGGGAATAATAATGTCTGCCTCATGGGGTTGTTTGTGAGGATTAAGTACTTGAAACAGTACCCAGTATGCGGAGCCCATTAAATGTCAACTGTAATAATTATTACAAGCAGGTTTCACCTAGACAAAAATGTTGGGTGTGGGAAAACAGTGAGTACACAGATGGTGGGCCTCAGTGACATCCGAAAGACACATTATTCTTCTGGTCTACCCCTCCCACTCTGCTCTTCTTCAGACTAATCCCTCTCCACAACCCTAATCCACTTAATTGCCTTGAGCAACTCTGGAGCCCTCTTTGAAGCCCTCCCCCCCAAATACTTACCAGCCCGTTCCCCACCAATGAAACCTCAGACTCCCAGCTCTGGTAACGAGTGTTTCAGCCTAGTTAATTAGAAAAGCCTAATATGCTACTGGGGGCCTACCGTGCAAGACACAGTGCTAGGCCATTATGGTGAGTGATTCTGGAGAGGGGCGGCGCTTGTATGCACAGGAGAAGCCAAGGGGAAATTAGCGTACTCTATAGTGAAAAGCTCACTGGAGTCCCTGTGGGCTTGGGTTTGGGCAAATTCCATAATCTGAGCCTCAGTTTCCTCCTCCGGAATACGGGTCTATTGACACCTACAGGAAGTGCGGCTGTCAGACTAAGGAAAGAACGTATGCTGTGACTCTCGGTGAACGGGGTGGGGGGGGCAATCCATACCTGCGAGCTCCCCCTCCACCCCCGGTAGAAAGCCAGAAAGTAGAGAGGCGAAAGGCTGGGGGTGCCGCCCGTGCCCTGACATGGACCCCACACTCTCCGAGACCGTCCCCTCCCCAGCTGGCGCTTACCCCGGCCTAGGAATCAGATTCGGGGGCCTCTTGGCAGCTCGTTACTCCAGCGAAGGCGTGGGGACGGGGAGAAACGCGACGAAAGCACTGGGAGCGGCGCCCCCAGAAGAGGAGGGCCGGGTGGGGGGGCGGAGGCCGCGCCTTTCCCCGCCCCGGGCCTCCCCCACTCTTGCCCCCCCTCCCCGGACTACCTCCTCCCCAGGCGCGCATCCGGCGGCGGGCACAGGATGTTCTTTCGCTCCCGCCCCCCCCCCCCCCCTCTCACTTTCCCTTCGCTCCCTTCCCCCACTCCCGCCGCGCCCGGCGCCGGCACCTTGTTTAACCCCTCCCCTCCCGCACTCCGCGGCTCCCCGGCGTCCCCTGGGCTCCCACCCTTCCCGCCTACCCCCCAGGACGCGGAGCGTGCCCTAGGGCTGCCCGGGAAGGGGCGGGCCTGGGCTCAGCGCCGGCCCGCGTTCTCGGGATCCATTGGCCCGGCGGGGGTGAAGTGGTGGAAGGAAATCCCAAAGGCTGAAGCCCGCATTCTCCGGACCCCCGCCAGTTCAGCGGCGCCGGGTGGGCTGGCCGCCCTCGAGCGAGCCACGCGCCTGCGGGAGGGGGGCGGCCATGTGGGCGGCCATGTGGGCGTGGTTAGCTCCAGGCCCGGAGGCGGACGGTAGGGTCGAGGACCCCAATCTCATCCTCTCCCCAGGTCAGGGTAGGAAGGGGCCGGGGACTCCGGGAGAGGATGGAGAGAGGTCACGCCCCTCACGCACACGTCACTGTTTCCAAGGCAACCGAGGGCGGGGAAGCGGGCTGGAGAAGACCTTAGAGAAAGGAGGCTACCCGAGGCTTTGGGACCCGGGTGGGGGTGGGGAGGCGGCGGGGGCGGGCTTTTCAATCTGTTTCTCCACTCGCTGCTGCTGCAAGAAACTGAGGGGAGGACCGGTACTGCTCATTCAACAAACGCTCATTGAGCTTGAGCTCTGCTTGGCGCCCTGCTTAGGCGCTGGGCTACGACGGCTGGGGATCCGAGCCCTGCTCTCACCCGTCATTGTGCGTTAGGGTAGGATGGCCTTTCGCTCCGGGTCACGTCTGTGGAACCGGTGTAATGATTACTAGTATCCTTTTTCACGCTTAGAAGTGTTCCAGTATGGGGGGGGACTAGTTAAGGAACTTTGTCCCCCAATACAGGAAAGGCTCCAACCATACAGGGAAGGAAGACAGGCCATTGTCTGATCACTATGCAACAGGCACTTTCTTGCCCCTTTGTAGTCTGTGTGTAGTCTTTGCACCTTGTTCTGCAAAGTAAGTATCATTAGCGACTTTTATAGATGAAGAAACTGGCTCAGAGAGGTTGAGAGACTTGCCCAAGGCCAAACAGCCAAGTATTGGAATCCAGATTCAGGTTTACATGGCCTCCAAAGTTGGAGTGTCCTACCTCATGCTTCCTTCTCAAAATAGATAGATTATATTAAATAAGCAAATGAGAGATTCTATCACTGCCGTGAAGGAGCTTATAATCTATGGGGTTGAAAATACTACAGGACATAAGTAAGCAACAGAATAGAGAAGAGATTGAAGGCAGCTCCTAAGGCTCAGAGGGAAGCTGACAAAATGATCAAAATTGGGTGGAAATTATCAGAGCCTTCCTGCAGGAGGTAGATTTTGAAGTGCTGGGGCCAGGATCACGGGGACTGTGTGTGTGTGCACGCGCATGTGCGCGCACGCACAATGCAGTGCCAAGAAAGAACAATCTAAGGGCATCAGACCAGGGACCAGAGCTACGCAGGCTGGACTCTCCAGTTGTGAAAAGATCCCTCTGTAAACCCGAAGTCACTGGTTGGGCCACTCACCTTTCGGCCTTCCCCCCTCCTCTGTGGGTTTCGTTTCTTAGGGAAGCTTCCAGCAGGGCAGCTGCACTCATTCCACTCTGCACTCAAAGTCTCTGCAGTTGGCATTTGGCACAGACTCCTTGACGTTAACTTGGATGTCAGCTTCTCCCTTCCCCACCCCTCTCTGAAGATTTGGTAGATAAAAAATTGTGACTTTTCAAAACCAAAGGGCCTGAGCAAGTACCAGGAACCAACAGGTTCGATGGGAATGGGGAGACCGAGTCAGGAGAGAAAGATGAGAAAGCACAACCAAGTGGGTTGGTCACTTGACTAACATCTACTGCCCTTCTGCTAGGTACCAGGCCCAGAGCTGGCCTCTGTGATTTGGGCACACCACGAATGAGTCAGGGTCCCTTCATGTGGAACACACAGCTGAGCAGCTGGTGTACCCAGTGTGCTTGGTTGAGGAACTTGAAGCTGAAAGCATACACAATAAACAGCGTTTGAGAAACATTATTCCAGTAGGCTAGGCAGGAGAAAGGAAAAACGTAGGTCAGAAAGGTGTAGCAGAGGCTGTGGGAATTTGAGCCAAAGGTGGAACCTATGGGGATAGAGAAGAGGCGAATGAGAAAAATAAGGAACAATAAATACATCTTGTAATAAAAACAACAAAGGGAGGAATTTGGTAGATCAGGTATAGGATGGTGAAGGAGAGAAAATAGTTAAAAATTAACCCACCTTCGTGGTGAGTTTGGGGGATGGGAGAGTCATAGTGGGCAATGGGGAAGAGCTGGTGTGAGCCACATGAGGACGAGTTCAGTCACTTCCAGGTCATGTGAGGGCAGGTGTTCCGTGGGTGACTGGACTTGGAGATAGGGAAGTCCAGAAGGGCAGTGGGCTGCCTTGTGAGAATGTCCCTGTCACCGTAGGTATGCAGAAAGCTTCAGAACAATGACTGACCTGGGATATCATGGACAGATTTCACACATTAGGTAGAAGGTTGGAGTTGATGACAGTTAAGTTACCTCCTGGCTGGGAGATTCGGTGAGCACTGGCTGGGTGAGCACGTATATGGGAAAAATGACTATCTGTGTGGGAAGGGGGTCCATGGCCCAGGCCTGCATCAGCATCCATCTCCTCAGAGGATGCCAGAGATGCCGTCAGATGGCCCAGGGGCATGAGGCCCAGGTGAGGCAGGTCAGCTGCCTGGGGTCCCTCCCCCAGCCCCACCCTCCAAGGCCCTGGAGCCCAGGCCTGTGCTGGCTGCCAGGGCTTTCCTGGAACTCAGCAGAGGACGGAGCCCCTCCCTGCCAGCCCTGGCACACTCCAGGCACAGCGTGTCCCCTGGGGCACCTAGCAGACACCCCAGGAGGCTAGGGTGTGGGACAGGTCTCCACCTCCAGGAAGAGTCCTACTCGGAGCTGCCATCTGAGCTCCCTGCCCTGGGCTGTCAGCCTCGAAGTGGCCCCACCAGGACAGCAGGCACAGAGGAGGAAGGAGAAATTTTGTGGCTGGGTGGCAGGATTCATGGGTCTTTGTTGTGGCTTTGGGTGGGAGGGTGGGTAAGGCAGAGAAGCAGGGTCTCAGGCTTCAAAGCACCTCCCCACCTGTTTCACCCTCCCTCTGAGGAAATCTTCAGGGGCCTAGTGGTTTTGAGGGGAGGGGAGGGGACAGGAAGAGACTCTAAACTCTGGGTTAGCCAAGGACAGAGGTGGGGGAGATCTTCTTGCCCTATATCCCATTTCTCTCAGCATCCTCTTCCTGTGCTCCCCACCACCCTAGAACAAATTTCTACCCCCATCTGCGGCGATGAGTTACATCCCCCACACCAAGACCTCCAGAGGCCTCCCAGAGTGGTGGGCTTTGGGGGAAACGGGACTTGTACACAGAAGCTGCAGGCCGGGCCACACCTGCCCAGTGGCTGGAGGACAGCGCCCCTCCCGGGTGGGCCGAGCCTGCTCCGCTCGGGCTGGGGGCCGTGCGACGCTGGAAATGCAGGAGCGAGAAGGCAGAGGGACGCGCAAACGGGCCACGTGGAGGTCCCGCGCGGCAGGCAGGGGCGGGAACAGGGGAGCCGGTCGTGCGCCCGCCTTCCCCCCACCCATCCCCCGTCCCCGCCCCACCCACCCCCCACCCCGCTCGAGGGAGCCTGCGAGAGTTGGGTCGTCGCTGACCGCAGGCTGCAAGAGCGGTTGATCTGGTGAGCGAGCACACCCACTTACCCAGCTGCTGAGTCAGGCTGTTCTCGCTCCCCGCTCGCCCGCCCGCTCGGGACATTGTGTTCCAGCCCCGGCGCGCTGGCACCGGGCCCAGGCGCTCACACCAGCCTCCTCGCCCTGTTTGTGCTCGCGGCTTGCGCTCGGCGCGCAGCCTCCCCGCCGCTGCAGCCCTGCGAGTGCGCGCTGGGGCCGGACTAGGGGCGGCCGGGGGCCGGTGGGGAGCCCCGGAGACGCGCGCCCGGCCGGCGGGGGGAGGGGGCGCCGCCCAGCCCGGGCTCCAGCCTTACAGCCCTCAGACCTCTCCATCCCCCACCTGCACCCCGCTGTGGAAGCCCAAGCGTGTGCGAGGCCCGAACACCACAGCTGGCGGGGGCGGGGTGGGGGGGCAGGTGTTGGTAGCTCCCGGAGGGAGACGGAGCCGCCCAGGCTGCCGCCCGGCCCCAACACCGTTCGGTCCAGTCCGGAGGATAGCTGCGAACGCGCCAGCCCCACACTTGGAAGACCTGGGATGCAGTCACGTGACAACGGAAGCCCGCTGGAGGGGGCCCATGCGAGCGATCCCCCGGAGGAGCCTCCACGGGCCTCGGACCCCCTTCCCGGACCGCTCTTCACACCAGCCTGGAGACTCCAGGGATTCCCAGGGGCTGGCGAACCAAGCCCAGCCCTCTGGGATAGCTTGGGAAACCCCTGGCGGGGCGCCAGGACTACGAAGAGCCCAGGACGGCCGGGTGGAGGAGACGACCCCAAACTGGAACGTGACCCCTCCCTTTGTTCCAGCCCCAAACCCGGATTTATTCAGAGCCATGTTTTCTCTTTACCCATCCGTCTAGAGAAAGACGTCATTGAGTGCAGTTCCTGAAGGTTCCACCGTCTCCAAACCGAGGAGGGGACAAAGGACTTATCTCCTGAGCACCTACCATATGGAAGGCTCTGTTGGGTCCTGCTAAGGACGTCATTAGAAAGTTGAAGACACAGTTCTGAGAGCCCTTTCATCTCGCACCTTCCAACCTCCACAGTGTGCTGTGCCATTTCTCCTGCCACCAGCAACCATCCTCCGAGTCTACCCATCTCTTAAGCTCCAACTGCTAAAGCCTGCTTGAAACAGCGC